ACCACATCCCAAAGATGCTCTATTGGGTTGAGATCTGGTGACTGTGGGGGCCATTTTAGTACAGTGAACTCATTGTCATGTTCAAGAAACCAATTTGAAATGATTCAAGCTTTGTGACATGGTGCAATATCCTGCTGGAAGTAGCCATCAGAGGATGGGTACGTGGCAGCCATAAAGGGATGGACATGGTCAGAAACAATGCTCAGGTAGGCCGTGGTATTTAAACGATGCCCAATTGGCACTAAGGAGTCTAAAGTGTGCCAAGAAAACATCCCCCACACCATTACACCACCACCACCACCCTTCACAGTGGTAACAAGGCATGATGGATCCATGTTCTCATTCTGTTTACGCCAAATTCTGACTCTACCATCTGAATGTCTCAACAGAAATCGAGACTCATCAGACCAGGCAACATTTTTCCAGTCCAGTGGAGATGAGTGGTACCTGGTGGGGTCTTCTGCTGTTGTAGCCCATCCGCCTCAAGGTTGTGCGTGTTGTGGCTCCACAAATGCTTTGCTGCATACCTCGGTTGTAACGAGTGGTTATTTCAGTCAAAGTTGCTCTTCTATCAGCTTGAATCATTCAGCCCATTCTCCTCTGACCTCTAGCATCAACAAGGCATTTTCGCCCACAGGACTGCGCATACTGGATGTATTTCCCTTTTCACACCATTCTTTGTAAACCCTAGAAATGGTTGTGCGTGAAAATCCCAGTAACTGAGCAGATTGTGAAATACTCAGACCGGCCCGTCTGGCACCAACAACCATGCCACGCCAAAATTGCTTAAATCACTTTTCTTTCCCATTCTGACATTCAGTTTAGAGTTCAGGAGATTGTCTTGACCAGGACCACACCCCTAAATGCATTGAAGCAACTGCCATGTGCTTGGTTGATTAGATAATTGCATTAATGAGAAATTGAACAGGTGTTCCTAATAATCCTTTAGGTGAGTGTATGTGTAGCAACAATTGTGCAGTTGTTTAATCCCTCAGCAAGGAAAAATAAAATCAGAATCAGAAATAAACAGCAGTTTAATTGTTTGCTATATTCAGAGGACATGATGTAAAAGTCTTTTGAGTGCTGTACTGTTTGTGCACTTTGAGTTTGGACTAGCACAGCACAGGTCTTGCAGTCTTTATCAGAGCTCAGAATGACATGCACACACAGCTCACAGTTTTGCAAATCCTTTACATGGTGCCTGGCTCGCTTAAACGGCCCAGAGTGAATGAGCTTTCTTGCTTCTGACAGAGGGTTGAGTGCAAAACAACTTTGTGCGTTTGACCGAGGGTCATTTTCATAGGGGAGTTGGGGTCAGTTTTCTTGCCGAAGTGTCGGGACGTTTAACATCTTTTAAATTCCAATGAAAAGAATATTTATTAGCCTCTCTAATTACTCTCCACAACATCTTGGCCCAGGTTTTTGTTTACTGTGAAGTCTTGCCTTGCTGAAAGAGCAGGGAGAAAGGGAGACAGAGGCTATTCAGTGCGATCGTAAAACTGATGTAGACAGAAACAAGTGCACAAAACAAAGGTTGTAAATGTAGAACTAATGCAGCAAGCCTTTTACATGTCTGTCTGGGTCTTTTATACAAGATGTACACAATAACTTCATCTAATATATAATGCAGTATAATACAGTGGGCTTGCAGTACATTCTACCTTTTTAAAATCTATAATGTATTCAAGATTTAACTCCTTTTCTTAACCTCCTATACACATTACACATGTTATCCTTGCCTGTAATGCAATTCAGTATGAAACCACCATTAAATGCTGTCTCAGAAATTACCATATAGCTGAAACACTCAATTTGAACAATAACTTCATGGAAGTCATACTTACAGCAGTGCTATTTAATAGATTGTATTATATTGTAGCCATGGTATTGTGTCCAAAGCTTCTATGTTCAACTGCTGTTGAAGCGTTCCTTCTGGCCTGACGTAATCCTTCAGTCAACAATGGCAGCCTTTCAGTCACTAAATTTGGGGGTGGAAAATTTGGCATGTGCACTTTTCGCTATACATGTAAACCTCTTACTCCTGCAGGTTTTGCTTTTATAATGATCAGTGAATGAAACCTTGACTCCACTTGCTTCTCCGCGGCTGCTGAGCACTCATTTTAAAGCATGCTGCAACTTTGTGGTCTGAGGTTTATTAGCAAGCCAGTTTGATAAAGGAATTGTTTTGCAGTCTGGCTTGCTTTGCCTGACAGTAGAGTAATTCAACAACTGGTTGAGGCTGACAGATAGATTGATTTGTCAGTGTGGCCTGTGCGGTGTGTGATTGTGAATGCTTGTGTGCGTCAAGTGAATGCGTGTGGCTGAGAAAATGATTAAGCTCCATAGTCCTCATAAGAGCATTTGGACCTAATTAACCCACTTCTTTATGACTGTATCTTGCACAGTTAGGCCAACTAAGCACAGTTATACTCTCTTGTGGTATATTCCCAGTCACTAAGAAATAAATTCAGTAGTAGACATTGGCTGGTAATAATAGAAACATGATTGCTGTTCTGTATCAGTGAGACTTACCAGTACTCTTAACACCTTCAGCTAAAGTCACTTCATCTCTGTGAATGGCAGTGCTTCCAAGGAGAACATTGGCAAAGCATTTAGGGAGGTGGAGCATGAAGATTGGCTGCAACACAGAGAAATGCAACCATTCTCCCTCTGTCATTGCAGTACAGTGTACAAATTCAGATTGGTTCTGTGTGTACTTCTGGAGACAGAGCGAAGTGATTGGCCCAATGGCTGAGACAAATTTTTTGCAAATTTTAACTTTTCTTTAACAGAAATATCTCTGCTCAACCCCTGTCACTTAACCCTCACTGGGTTTATCTTTATACAAGGGTTGAATAGGTTTCCAATGAATGAAGCCTTAGCTTGACTTCTAACTATTCCCCTCGCCAATATCCACATCAGTAAATCCACAGGGCTGATTACAGAAACAAGAGTTGTTGATGAGAGAAAGAGAGGGAGGTTAAGAGACTGTATGGCTCCACACTCTGCTTGCCTGACTGCCCCCAACATTACTCCCCAGAACTTTCTCACGGGAGTAGTCCAAAGTGATTTAAACGTGCATGCAGTTAATAGGAAGCAACAATCATACTCATCTATTCCCAAATATTACCAACAATTACCTTATTGCATTACTGTAAATATGAGCTGTAAATGCATCAACCTGTAAATACTGTAAATATTCCTTCCATTTTTTTAAATCAACTAACCATGTAAATTACTGCTTTACATAGGAAGTTAAATTATTGCATGCTAATTATTAAAATATTTACATTTTATCAATAAATTGCATTTAGGCTAGTATAGGTGGATTCACCCAAATGAAAAAAAAATGCATTTTCTCAATTATCTCTAGTGCCCTAGATTAGGGCTGAACGATTTTGGAAAATAATCTAATTGCAATTTTTTTTTAAAACCAATATTGCGATTTAATATGCGATTCATTTTTAAGCTCTTTACCTTCTGTATTACTCAAAAAGGACAAGAAATAAATCAAGTGTAGACTATTGGATGACCAACACAATATTAGATAGATTAAACATACACTGTTCTTTCTTGTAGGCCAGGCTGGTGTTATGATGAAATTAGGTGATGCATGAATTATTATTATGAGCAATGGCGGAGAAGAAGTATCAAATTATAATAATATGAGAAAGATAAATTGAGAGCCAAGTCATGGCATTAAATAATATGATATCATATCATCAGGTCGGTCTACCTACAGAACACCACCGTATATTCACCACAGTATATTGTACAGTAAGCGCTCAATACGAAACCCACAGTTCAACCACCTCAGTTCAAATCTCCTAGGAGTCCGTCTCTCAATAAAAAAAACTCAAAAAATACTCAGTTTGAGGTTCAGTTAAAAAGTTGGCCAACGAAAATAAAACCAAGTGACGCCTCTCGTGTTTAATAGACAAGCTTAGTAATTCTCCGACAACACTGGAGTTCTCCACTCCCGCATGCTGGTAAGCAAATTTCCACTGGTCAACGGAGTTGAGTGTGAGTTTGGTTTGAAAGGCCGTTTCACAGATATTTTCTGAGCTGACTGGTGGCTGCGTGTGTGACGATCGCCACAATACCCTTACCTTACTACACACGTCTTTCTGTTGTGCATTTTTCCTGTCCGCCAAAGTCGCGGATGGCAAACACCACCAATTTACCAAGTTTCTGTAGTGTAAGCTTCTGTCAAGCCTAAGGCCATTGTACAACAAGACGTCAAGGTACAGCGTAACGTGCGAAGTTGATGCTTCCTCTGCGGACTGGTTAACTCTTGTGTGTCATGTGACCAGAGTGTAATCGCAGCATTTGCGATTAGAAAATCTCATTTTATAATATCACGATAATATCGCAAATGCCTTAGTTTAGATAATCCACAGAACACACTGTCAGCAGTTTTAATTAGACAAAAGCATTGTATATCTCAACACACACACAGATAAAACCCTAGTATCTGGATTCAAGTGAGAAAGTATGTCTATGAAGATTCTCAGTCATCCAGGTCATAGTTATCCAACGAAGGTTAAAATCAAGGGCAACTGGACTTGGTTGAAGATACTGGAAGACGTTTCGTCCCTCATCCAAAGGACTTCTTCAGTTCTGACTGACTGGCAGGGAAACTCAGCTATTTAACCTCAGTGGGGTCGTTGGCCCGGGTCATCGATACTGCTTGGTTGTTAGGGTTCCTTGTTGCTGTGACGACAGTCGTTACAGTCGTTAAGACTACCTGTGGCCAAGACTGAACGACCATCGTTGGTATCTTCACCTGAGGCCAATAGGTTATGTTTGTCTTCCAGTATCTTCAACCAAGTCCAGTTGCCCTTGATTTTAACCTTCGTTGGATAAGTGAGAAAGTATGTGTTTTTTTTGTCTTTTAGGAGTTTGGAGAGGGAAACTCTAGTGTACTGTAAATAGTTAGCCTGGTCCGCCTTTTCGGTTTAATTTCATTTTCATTTTCCTTAATTTCTCCTCCTCTTCAGTAAAGAGTGGATCTCGGCCTCTCCACTTTAACTGTTCACCAGCTGCTCACTCCTGCCTACTTCAGAGATGAGTGCCAAGTCCGCCATCAACAAGGAGGTCTTCATACCACATGATGAGAAGATGCTTGCCGCTGTGCAGGTAAAGAGGAGGACCAAGAAGAAGATCCCCTTCCTGGCCACTGGTGGTCAGGGTGACTACATGACCTTCATCTGCCTCTCAGGTCAGAGGACAAATGTAAATCTCTTCTCCTCTCCTCTCCTCTCCTCTCCCCTCTCTCCTTTCTGTGTTGATTGGGCTGTTGCAACACAAAGTATAATTTCAACACTTCTCCTTTTAATTCTCCCTAATGTTCACATTGATGAGCATGTTTACATTTACTCTGCTAATGGGATGACACGCAAAATCAATTTATTGCTTTTTTAAAATGGATCAGATTTACGCTCAAATTGAATAATTATTTCACCAGATATTGATTAAATGATTTTGTTTTCTTTCTCTGTTTGAACGTTTGCTGAGATATTGCATGTTAATTGAATTAGCCATGGATATTATTCATGAGGAGAATAGCTGGAGAGTATTTATTTTATTGCCAGCAGAACTGCTTATGAAGATCAATGACATTTCTTAATCCTTCCAATTGAATGTGTATTAAACTCTGCTTTGGCAACAGCAGATCACATCATTAAAGGTTCAAAGTTAGTTATTGGTGACTGGGAGGAATTTAGAGTATATCAGTATAGCACAAATGTCAGTGCAGTCTCTCTGTGCGGGATTTAAATTCATGGTTGCCTACCAGTAATATAGCTACTCAACACTGAGCTTGTGTGTTTACACTCTCAGGGACAAGCGCATAAAAGCCAACTGTGTCGAGCGCGAATCCAAATTAACAACAAGTTTCTGGAAACGGACACTGTTTTTCTTAAGGGTTTATGATGAGTCATTTCTCCTTTAATGTGGAAATGAGTTTGGTTGATATTCACTTGTATTGCCAGTCTCATCACGTCCCCAGCAGCAGCCTTCACCTCCGTGCCCTGTTTGAGCTCTGCTGCGCCAAAATCTATTAAAGTTACTGGTCTCCAGTCTCGTAGCTTCTTTTGAATTTTTTAAATAATGATTACCACATAATACATGATATTATAAGGATAGATTAGAGATTTGACTTCAGTGGAAAGCTGCTGGTTTGAATCTCAAATGTGGCTTTGAACACTGGGCAACAGTCCTGCCTTCTTTATTATTATTTGATTCTGTATTTGTTTGCTTTTTAATGTGTCTTTGTAATGTTGACATTGAGTCTACTCTTTTCACCATTACCTCTATCATTGAATACACAAAGCATTTTTCACATAATTACATATCAACACTGGCGAAGGGCATCCTGAAGACTGTAGAGAGAGGAATAGTTTGCAGAGTATCCATGCATGAACATAGAGGACCTATGTGTGTCCCTGTGTTAGAAGGCATGCCAGCAACACACCACATCCACCATACCAGGTTTTTATTATCGATTAATCCAAAAATTTATTCTCTATGTAAGTACTTTTCCAGGGCCCAAAGATACATATTTCGTCTAATCAACAGTTCAGAAATCCAATTTACAGTGATATGAAACAGAGCAAAGCAGTAAATTCTCCCATTCGAGAAGTTGGCCTTATCAATTGTTTGGCCTTTTTGCTTAAAAAAAGATTTTATTTATTATCAAATTTGTTGGTGATAAGGGACCCTGGGCCTGGGGTTTAAGGCCCAGACCATGAATCACAATGTCCTTGGTTTGTGTCTGGCCCGGGACTTTTGTTGGATGTCACTCCCATCTCTCTCTGCTTATTTCCTGGCATCAGTCTACTGTTGACTTATTAATCAAAAAACTTAAAAAAAAAAATGTTATGGCACTCAACTAATTGATTAATCAAGTAGTTTGTTCATCGCTAGTTTGACTCTCACCTCATCATCACATACTGTAGCTAAATTGGATGAACGAAATCAAAATCACATAAAAAACAAGTTGATTCATCTGAGTATACCTCATTCTTTATTTGGTAATTGCACACTTAACCTAAGATTGTCTCAGTGAGACTGCTCATTCTTTAACACTTAGATTGTAGCGATGAAGGGTGTGTGTGTCAGTGTAACCTCGACAGAGAGACAGTACGACTGGGTCCGTCTTAAAACCATGGTGATGCCACTTTAAACTGCCTTAAAGTTGGAGGATTTATACCCCCAGGTTACTACATCACCTGGTTGGAGCAAGATAAGTTTGGTACAGTCAGTGACTCCAACCTTTCTGTAAAGATGAAGAGGTCTATTGTTGGACTGTGTGACTGCTGGGACTGTGGGCTCTTGCATTTGTACTTTATTTACTTTTTATGTAACCCAGCTGAATCGGTGCATCTCCTGTTTTGGTCAGTGGGGGAGGTCAAGGCTCCATAGGAACTGCCATTCATTCACTGCCATCTTTACTTATTATGTGTAGAGACATGAGGCTATTTCATCCTTGTGCTGAAAAGCCTTTTGTTGATTCAATGTCAGATAATTTTTAAAGGAGGAACATTTTGTATTTTCTTATCCTTTGAAATAAGGCAGGGCGATATGGCCTATAGATTTTCTTCAAAATAACTTTTTGGACTTAATTGCCTGCAGAGGCCAGAGGACACCAGTATTTTATTTTGAAGTAGGCTTAGAGACCTCTTAGAGACCTATTCCCTCGGTTTGGTAGTATATTTGATTATATTTGAGTAAGTCCCTGTTTTCTGATCTGCTCCAATTTTGTTGTGTTTAAGTTACTGCATTATGCTGTTAATATACCAACAATGCAGATTTTTAAATACAAATTTTTAAATCATTTCACTATCTATGTAAATTATAATTGCACCTTTTTATTGATATGTTGATTTGGCTTTGAGAGCGATAACTTAAAACAAATAGCACCTATTATTTGGTGTCTGATAAAGAGAGACTTAAAGGTTTTTGAGCTTGAAGGACTTCATCATTTCAAGAAGGAACTGGGCTTTGACGAGGTCCCACAAAACACTTTTATAGGAATAAAATCATAAATAATGAAAGACACAATACTAAACTTCAGCTACATACACACAGTTTGTTGACCTAGTAGTGATTCATCTTTTCTGACACATTGAAATATTGGTTTCCAGGACACAGTGAGTTTACCCATTCTCTCTCTCTCGCTCTCTGCTCAAATGTGAAAAAGAGAGAGAGAGAACACGTATTAGATTGTACTGAACAATTACGTTAACTTGTCAGCAGTGTGGAAGAATTTTTAAGTTTCTGAGAAAAATGCAAAAATCACCGTTTGAAGACACTGTTCTGCTGAATTGTCTCCTAGCACATCCACATCTGTGGCTGACTTCTTAGAAAAGGCAACAAACGGTCTGACCCACTTTGAGTGTTTCTGTCACTCGTCTGTGAGAAAGCGATTAAGCTAGCTGCACCTACATTTAGAGTGCACACATATTCGAGCCTTTATGGTAACGGAACAGAGCGAGCTGACAGGCAGGTAAGCGACTTTATCATATTGGGTCAGACTTGTTAAATTTAGCGCAATGACACACATGTGACAGCGTCCGGTTTTAAAAATAAGGTGTCTATACAGTATGGAAACTGAGCCCCTCCACACTTCTTACCAGCTGTCATTAATTAATACCTGTACCAAAAAAAAAGGGTGGTGACCAAATCATGTGCTGGTGCGACAAACTGAGAAAGTTGGTAGCACCAGTGCTACCAGTGGAAAAGTTTGTCTGGAGCCTTGCACACACACACACACACACACACACACACACACACACACACAAACACACACTCAGGCTTCAGCTAGACAGAACCATATTTTACCATTCTGTAATTCTCTCTTAAGTGTATATCCAGGATTATCAATGGTTGTGTTTGCAGATTTGCATATAGGGCTGGACAATATGGCCAAAAATGTTTCGATATTGATAATTATCGTTATTTCTTTCGAGTTTTAAAGTCTGATTTTTGCTCCTGAGTGACAGTTAAAATAAAATCTTTGTCACAAGTAAAATTAAATAAAAGCTTTTTTCTCAACACAATAAACATCTTAATAAAGAAATCAAGTCCTAATTTGTGTATGATTCAAGTGAATAACATTTATTGAATATTTAGTGAACATTTGTTATATTGTTATGCATTCTTTATTCTGCACTGGGGGCTGTTTTAGGTGAAGAATCCGAAACCGCTGTATTTAAGTAGTTTTTACCCAAAAGGAATTTGGTGACTACAGCAGACATAAACCTATATAAATGTAAAAATATGAAATTTACAAAATATCGAAATTATAGAAGAATAATAAAACTATAACCTGGTAGGACATTTTATAAACTGTCTGTAGTTGGGGAGATCATGGCTGAGATTTCCTTTGTTAAAGTCACCAAGGACAATAACAAGGGAGTCTGGGTTCTTCTGCTCCACACACAGTATCTGGAGGAGGAGCAGGCGCTGTGCACCTTTCGTTTTGCTGGAGAGATCTGTCTCACGATCTTCTCTGAATAGTCCAGTATAATTCCACACAGCCACATCTCTGTGAATCATAAAACAGATTATGAATAAAAGTTCCACAGATGACACGAGAAAAATGGGAAATAAATCCGCTGGTGGTTTTCCCCTGATGTTCATGAGCTTCTCTCTGGTGAGCGAGCTCCGGGTATAAGAGCAGAAAACTGAGTTACAAACAAAAACAAGACAAAACAACATGCACCAAACACAGAGGCAGCCATCCACAGCGCCATCTTAGAGCATGGATAGATTTGTGCTACTGCTGGCTTTAATAGTAATTGTTTTGTGGTATATTTTGCAGAGGATCACAGTTTGGACACACATCTGCCCTCTAGAAACTGAACCACCTCCATATGATCGACCCTTTGTCTGGAATTGAAGTTAAATAAGGACAACAATGGTTGGTTAGTTTAGGGAATCTGTGACTGTGTGGAAGAGGGAGCGAGTCCCCTGCATGTAAATGCCTGCTGCTTTTCACGCAAAAAATAAATTGATAAATGAAGATGACGATTATGGTCATCTGCCATATTGCTCTTCAAATCTATTGGATATATGCAATATTTCACCCAGTCCTACTTTGAAATACAATATTCTGAATGTGTGAATGGATGTTGCATAATGTTCTAAAACAAATGAAGAAATTGCACAGTTTATTCCCATCCCATTTACTACCATCACCACAATCACCCAAGTTTA